ACGCGCTCCTTGCGCACGGTGGGCTTGGCCCGCAGCGTCCGCGGCGCCAGTGCCAGCGCCAGCAGCAACCCCAAGGCGAGTCCCAGGCGGCAGCCGCAGCCACCGCGCGCCATCGTCCCGAGGAGAGGACGGCCGGGAGGGAGGGAGGCCCCGAGAGGGCGGCGAGAGCGGCGGCGCGGGAACCGGGGCTTGGAGCGCGGCGGCGGCGGCCTGGAGCCGGCGCGGGGGAGGAGACGGCCGGCCCCTCCGACTGTGCCCGCCCCGTGCCCGAGCACAGGGGCGCGCCCCGGGCCTTGGGTTGGGGAGCTCCGGGCGGCCCCGCTCACGCGCCCATTGGCCACTGTGCTGCCGGGGAGGCTGGGCCGCCCGGCCACGTCGCCAGCGCGAGTGGTGGGCGCCGGGCTCGGGTTTCGCCTCGGCCCCTCCCCGCCATCTCGTCTCTAGGGGCGGGCCCAGGCGAACTGGGCTGGGGACTGGAGGGCTCAGAGGAAGACTGGGAAGAAGTTCTTTGTCAAGCAACAGATGTTCACGATAGAACTCCCTTTCTCTTCCTCTAGTTCCTGAGAACTGTTAAGGACGGGGGCGCCACCCCTTGTTAACCTCCAACTGAGAACCCGAACCTCGGCCCCGGACCCTGCCTTAAGATGCGCTCTTAAGCCCAATCCAGCCCCACTTGGCTAAATTTGAAATCTAGTCACAAACACAAGAGACTGGAGAGAAACTAGACCAGAGTGGGCCGGGTCCCCTAGAAACAGGAGCCACAAACTCAAATGTGGTTGACCCATCTAAAGGGAGCAGTCTTGTGCCTGCCGGCTGCCAGGAGGAATGCAGGCCCCTTTGCTGGCAGATAGTCATGTTTCCCAAAAGAAATCAGGATTTCAGATTTTTGTTTTCATTTCTAAATATTGGCAGCCTATCTTACAAAAGCACTCCGTGAATGAAATCTTATCTGTACATTAGATTGGTATTGCTGCCAGTAAAAATAGAGCAACTCTGTCCAACTGAACTTTCTACAGTGATGAAAATGTTCTGTATTTGGACTGCGCTGTAGGTAGTGGTATTGCACACTTGACATGTACCTTAGAGTAACTGAAGCATTGACATTTTAAACATGATTTAAATTGAAATAGCTACAGGCAGCTAGTGGCTACTATATTGGATGGGGCTAGTCTACAGCATCACTTGTTTCCCTGTCACAGCTTTGTGAAACTCATTGATGACTTTTTTCTAGAAAAATACACATACAGCTACTGATTGACCAAAGTGTCAGAAGGATTCATGATCCAAAGCCCCACCCATGAACCCCAAGTCAAGAATCCCTAGGAAACTGAAACTGTGGTTGAGAAGAGAAGCCCAGCTTTGCAGAACTGGATAACTGGACTCCTAGAAATTTCCTCCATCTTGCTCTGCCCCTGCCTCTGTCCCTGATATTCTAAAAAAAGTCTGGGCTGTGCTTCTTGCCCTTCAAATGAAGATGTCAGGACATTATCAGTAGCAGCACAGATGCAAATATTTTTCTTATGAAGATCTATGTTAATCAATTAATGCTGTTTGCCAAACACAGTCCCAGCACTGACTGGGTGCAGAGAGTACAATGGGAAGAAGATGGTCGTGGTCTCTGCAGAGCTATATGTGTTTATAAATGTTGGCATCTACACATATATATGTGTATGTGAACATATGAGGTTGGACAATTAAGTTCTGTAACTCATCTGTAACTTAAGAAGTGCTGCCTTCCTCATTGCTGAATGTAGCTACAGTCACCTTTGAAGTACTCCCCTAGGAAAGCTATGCACTGATGCCAGTGCCTAGTTCATCCTTTAAATCAATTTTGGAACTCTTTTTCTAGAATGACCATCAGAACAGTCATTGTATGAGGTTTGACAATTAAGTTCACTTGCCATCATGCACTTACATTGATAGCACTGTACAAACAACTGGGTAAGATTTCATAACCTTGATATATCAGTGTCTCGCAGCTGTGTTTGTGTTAACATGTGACAGTGTCTTGCTGAGTGGTGTTCATTGTTGTTGAGTGTTTTGGGGTGCCATACAATGACAGCTCTGATGGTTATTCCAGATAAAGAGTTCCAAAATTGCTTTGACGTGTGGATTAGGTACTGATGTTGGTGCAGTTTCTCAAGGGGAGTACCTTGAATAGTGATATATAGCTATAAGGTACATAGCAATTTTTCTAGGATGAGTCTGTGAACTCAGTTGTCAGACCTTGTATGTTTATTCAGTCTTTCAGTAAACTGAGCACCTGCTAAATGTCTGGGATGTGCTGGGTACTGGTTTACTGGGCATGCATAGATTGCAAATCAGCAGGACACATACTCAGAAAGGCCTTCAGTATTTTGGGGGTATATCAGAGGGACAGGACCCAGACTTGGGGCTCCATCAGGGATGACCTTCTAGAGGAAGGAACGTCTACACTTAAACTGAAGGAGAGGAGGATAAGCTAGGCAGGGGGTGTGGTTATAGGAGAGGAAGATAAGGTTCTGTGTGAGCTGACAGAGGACAGTGGAGTGTGAGGTAATTTCCTTGTGACCCTATACATCCCCATAGACTGGTGAGTCTTTGTAGCCTCACCCCACTTCAGCTGCACTGGAGAAGAAGCTCTATGTTTGAGGCCAAACATGTCCCCCACTGCCAATCTACAGAATTGAATTTCTAGCAATAAAGAAGCATTACTTTGGGCATGTAAGAGCTCCCTACTGAAATGCAAGTGTCCTGAGGTAGGCGGCTCAGTACCTTCTGTGCTCATCAGGCAAGCAGGATATGAACTGCTGAGTGAGGGAGGAGAAGGAGTGGGAGCAGGCACAGGGAGGAGAATGAAATCAGAGCTAGAAAAATAAAGGAGAAAGTTAGGAAGGGCGTGGGAAAGTAAGTGTGACAGTCTTTACTTGTTCATAACTTTTGTCATAGGCCTGCCTGGGTCCTTGGGATTGATCCAGACTCATAGGAATGAGGCTAGCATATCTTTTACCCTTGTAATAGCTGATTTTCTGCAAGACATAAGTGGTTTCCAGCAGATTGTTCCAGAGGTAGTCTTGGCTTCTGTGGGAATTACCAGAGAATTCTAGCACTTGCTGTGAATCCAGAAGAGTTTATATAATTTCCCCTGGGCATGCCTCCGCTTTCTTCCTTTATATTTATTTTTATCCCTCCACCCTCCCATAAGAGTTCAAGGAATCCTCCCAACCAAAGGATGAGGAAGGGTGATGATACAAAAGAGATATTCATGCATAATTGCTTTCTTTCATTTTTAAATTGCTTTGCATTTCTCCCTATGTGCCTATATGGAGAGACCCAAGTACATGGTCATCTCTCAGGTTCACCTCCATTCTTAATGAGGGAAAGGAACCAGAGCAAGAGAAGTAACACTTAGCAGAGGGCTGAACCAATGAAGAGGGAAAGCAAGTTTCAAATGAGTAAATTGATCAGTTTAGTGTATGCTGATCTGCTGAGTGTGGCTACAGGTAAATCATCAACTTCAACAAAAATCCCATCAGAAGTTACTAAAACAATAAGAAAACATCATCTCATGTAACAAGAAGCTGTAAGTTAGATATCAACTATAGCTTGGTTAGTTCAGGTAGCTTCAGGATAATGTCCAAGAACCAGAAGGAGGGAAAAAAGGAGTGTTTTCTTCCTTTACTAGGAAGAAAATTTTCCCATAAGTTCCCCTCACATTGCATGGCCAGAATTGTGTCACATGTCTGTGCAAGGTCCAAAGACAGGTAAGGAGAATCCCATGATTTATTCAGACTAATCATGACTCATCCTCTAGATGTGGTGTGGTGGGTTATGCCTGTAATCCTAGTTCTCTGGGAGGCAGAGGCAGAAGGATTCTTTGAGAGGAGGATTTCCAGACTAACCTGAGTAGACTCTCCTTCCTCTACTAAAAATAGAAAAAATTAGCAGGGCTTGGTGGTTGCTGGCCTGTAGTCCCAGTTACTAGGAAGGATCGCTTAAGCCTAGGAGTTGGAGGTTACTGTGAGCTAGCCTGACACGAAGGCCCTCTAGCCTGGACAACAGAGCAAGACTCTGAGAACAGAGAGACAGAGAAAGGATGACGGGCAGGCAGGAAAACAGGCAGAAAGGAAAAAAATAAGGGAGGGAGGGAGAAAGGAAGGAAGGAAAGAAAGAAAGAAAAAAAGAGAAGAGAAGAGAGGAGAAAAGGAAAAGAAAAGAAAGTCCTTTTATCCTTTGGAAGGATTAAGTTGTTCATATAGTTGTCCTGCCTTGGGGCATTGAATTTCTTATTCTAAATATACGAAATCTGACACCCTGTCAGTAGCAAATTAGAAAAAGTACTCTTTTGTTTGCCCAAGGGTTACAACTAAGCCCTGTAGGCAGGTAGATACTGGGAGCCTCCACTCTGCTCTCAGTAGAGTAGGCAGTAACCTTGTCCCCACCAGGATGGATCCCTAATGGGGGTTCCATCCACAGAGCCAGCCCCATCCACAGAGCTTCTTGGGTTTGCCAGTGGGATCAGATAAATGTCTTCTGCTACTACAATCTTAGTGAATCCAGGAAGAGGTGATGTTATCAAGCACCCAACACCCACAGCTTGCTGCTAGAAGCATGAGCACCTGACCATTCTCAACAAAAGGTGCTTGAAACACATTCTAGTGATCTAGTGATAAACCAAAAGATATTTTTAAAAAATGTTGTACCCTACAGGAGAGATATTTTTTCCCCCATGAAAAATTATATGTGATACATATTCCTACAGATAAACACAGATACACAAAAAGCGAACATCACCTCAAATCCTACCATGCAGAAATATCCCCTCTGAGCATCTTTCTGTATATTGGACGTGGTGCATTCATATGAAAATGTATACATGTATGTTGTATGAAAGTGGCATCATGTTACGTTGTTTTGCAACCTACTTCCCAGTCCTTCTGTAATTTATCAGTCTATTGTGAACATTTCTAATCATGTACATCTACATCAGCATTCGTGTTCTTTCTTTTCTTCCCTTTTTAACCGCTCAGACTGCATCCTCTTTGTGACACTCCAGGAAGAGAAGAGCCATCCTCACTGGCAAATGGCTGTTGCAGTGAAGCAACCCCTAGAGCTGGCTTCACACTCAGGAGAGAACATTGCATCTCCTCCTCATGGTGTTTGGTGCTCTGAGCTTTTGGAGAAACTTCTTTGGTGATGAACTATAGAGATGATCCCTAAATGGATACTCTTTACATCTTCTGTTTTGTTTTAAGATAGGGTCCTGTTCTGCCACCCAGGCTGGCCCATAGTGGCCTGACGAGAGATCACTGCAGCCTCGACCTCCTGGGCTCAAGTGATCCTCCCACCTCAGCCTCCCAAAGTGCTGTGATTTCCAGGCATGAGCCACCATACCTGGTTTACATCGGCACTCTTTTTTGTTTGTTTGTTTTTTGAGGTTTATGAGACAGTGTATGACACTGTTGCCCTAGGTAGAGGGCTGTGCTGTCAAAGCTCACAGCAAACTCAAACGCTTGGGCTTAAGCAATTGTCTTGCCTCAGCCTCCCAAGTAGCTGGGACTACAGGCACCTGCCACAATGCCTGGATATTTTGTTGTTGTTGTAGTTGTTTGGCAGCCCTGGGCTGGGTTTAAACCCACTAGCTCCAGTGTATGTGGCTGGCTCCTCAGCTGCTTGAGCTACAGGTCCTGAACCTATATCAGCACTCTTAATCTTTGAATGATATTGCATCATTGCTCACTTGTGGGAAGTTTAGACAGCAGTTGTTACCATATATGCACCGACATACTATAGTAGTTCTTAGTAATAAGCAACCGCAACTTACCCGTGGCATGTAAGAATAAACTGTTTACAAGGTACACAGCTTGTCAGGTCACTGCTGGGCTGGGCTTACTCATGACTGTGGTCAGCTGCTGAGTAACTGAGCAGGTATCTTCATTTTTACCCTGCTCACTCACATGCTTGGGATGGCTGGCTGTAAGCTGCTCTAGGATGGCCACCACCAGAACAAGGAGGGCAACAGGCTATTCTAGGTGATTAATCAATCCTTCAGGAGGCTAAGATGGGCTTGTCCTCATGGCTACTCAGCAGAACAGGCTAAGCAGAAGTGTGCAAGCACTTGTGCCAGGCTGTGCTGATATCACATTTGCTTGCATCCTGATAGCCAAAGCAAACCATGTGCGAAGTACAGAGAGTGGGATTTCCGTAAAGGGGCAAACGTTGTGGATACAGGGAAGGGTAGAGCATTGGGGGGAGGTATGTAATAAATTCTTGTACAGGTATCTTTGAGTGCTACTTGCTTATTCTGTGGTATAAATTCCTAGATGTAAAATTGCTAGGTCAAATGTATCTGCCTTTCTGAAGGCTCTGAAGATAAACTGCCAAATTGCTGTCTGGAAAGGTATGGCAATTGATAGTCTCACTAACAGTAAATAAGCAAGTCCATTTCTCTATAGTCAAGATATGAAGAAAAGCTCTGTGCAATCTTTGGACACTCTAGGGCAGTGAATGCCTTCCAGTGTCATGGCACCCTGGATCTTAGATGTGCCATGAAAAATTTTAAAGATCATTAATTAAATTATTTTAGAATGAAGGTCAAAGCACAGTAAGTATATTCTATTTTTTACTCTTTTTTTTAATCAACATAATTGAAGTGTGTCATGGAAGTTTAACAATAGGTTCAAGTGTGCCTGGAGATGAACAATGTTTTTTTTTTTTTTTTGAGACAGAGCCTCGAGCTGTCCCCCTGGGTAGAGTGCTGTGGCATCACAGCTCATGGCAGCCTCCAACTCCTAGGCTCAAGTGAGTCTCCTGCCTCGGCCTCCCAAGTAGCTGGGACACAGGCGCCTGCCACAACACCTGGCTATTTGCAGCCATCATTGTTGTTTGGCAGGCCTGGGCTGGATTCGAACCTGCCACCTTAGGTGTATGTGGCTGGCACCTTAGCCACTTGAGCCACAGGCGCCGAGCCGGAGATGAACAATGTCGAAAAACACTGCCCAAGGGGTTTGTGCTTGAGTTGCATGATCTGCCTCAAAGTTTCATAAACATAAATAAGGTTATCTTGGAAACTCCAAGAAAGATGCCCTAGTATGGTCCTTTGAAAATGCATGCTCCATTCTGTCCTAAAGAATTGGAAAGACTCCAGGGCAATGCCCAAAGGCAGGGAGAGTGACCATAAATCCTGGTTTGCAGGAAAATGTCTTTGTTTATCTGTTGTTCTGGCTTAATTATTAAAAGTCCTCTTGTTCCTTCACTCTCAGAAGTTTCTCATTTGGGGCTATAGGTTCTTTGACCCCTGGGTCAGCTTAACTTTAATCTCAAACTCCTTCATTCATGCAACTCATGATTTTTTTCATTTTCTTATGAATGTTTACTTTGTGTCAGATACTGTGCTAAACACTAAGAATACAGCAGTGGGCAAAATCAGACATGGTCCCTGCCCTCATGGTGCTTATAGTCTAACAGGGGAGAAATGCTAATACAATAATCTCACAAATCAGTATACAACCTCAGCAGTGGTGAATGCTTCAAGGAAGAGGTTCCTGTTAGGGAGGTAGTTAGAAATCTGGCTCTTCTGAGAAAGGAGGACAAGGGCAGGGCATCCAGACCCCCATCTTGGTGCCACCCACTTAATTTTGTCACACCTGGGGAGGAAGGAAGGCCTTACTAATCTACCATTCAGAATTTAGCATGTCAACCGCAAAAGGATATAGAAGACTGGCCTAGTGGCAAGCACAATAGGGTCTTGAAGGTGACCTAGAACAGCCTTAAGACTGATTATCATATCATTTGCATAAATCTACATTGTGGTCCACTCCCATGCACCATAGGCTCTCAGAGAAGCTCATGGGAGGTCTACATGGGCAGTAAGACTTTGGTTCCAAGGTGATCATTGAATCACAAAGTAGGCCTGGCCCAGGCAATATAAAAGAGAATCCCCCAGCCATATTCAAAGCCTTTTTTCTTGTGACAATGTGGGCCTGTTCATTGTCTATGGGGAACATATCTTGCCCTGTAAGCCTCGTGCTCTTACTCTGCAAACTTGCCTTTCTCAATAAACTCTGTTTCATGCTTTCCTTACTTTGGGGTGTCTGGTCATTTTTAGACCATGAGCACACCAAGAACCGAGGGCACAGATAGCCGCCCCAAACCCCAATATTTTAGGACCCAGGCAGCTGCCTTGGAACTCAACAGTCCTAGCACTAAGAGCATTTATGTAGTAAGGATCTTATGATCTTATGTGATAAGTATGATCTTATCCCAGAGACCAGGGTAGTATCCAAGAGGGAGTGAAGCTTCAACTGCTCAGCTGCCACTGAAAGTGAGAGGAACTAGAATATGTCACCCCCACATATGCCCCTGTCTTGGTCCATTTTTGTGTTGCTATAAAGGAATATATGAGGCTAAGTAGTTTAGAAAGGACAGTGGTTTATTAAGCTCACGGTTTGGCAGCCTGTACGAGAGACATGGCAGCAATACCTACCTGTGCCTGGCTGCAGGTTGTTCCACTTACGGGGAAGGAGGAGAGGTCGCGATGTGCACAGGGATCTCGTGGTGAGAGAGCAGAAGCCAGAGCCAGGGGGAAGGTTCCACGGTCTTCGTTAACAACCAGCACGGGAGGGAACTCTCCATAGGAAGTCAGAGAGCTAACTCATCACCAAGGACTGGCAAGAAGCCATTCTCCTGGGATCATCCCCATGACCCAAACCCCTCCCTCCAGGCCCCATCTCCAACATCCAGGGTCAAATTTCAAAATGAGCCACGCAGGGGCCAAAAAACCATCTCCACACCACAGCAGCCACTTTGACTTAAATATTTTTGAGTTAAAGGCAGTTAAGAAGCCACAAACAAAGGAAGAGCTCTTTCTAGCCTCCTTGCCTTTCTACTGAAAGACAGAATATAAATTCTCATTAACTGGGGACGGACAGCTCTTATCAGGCCAGATAGGACACCAGAGGAAGCCACAAACGGACCTTAGTCCACTAGCTTCACTAGCTTACTTGCATATATTTGCTTTCCCGTCATTTTCCAGCTCTGGAAGCCTAGAACTGCTTTCCTTTGTCTTGTCACTTGTCTTCATGTCTTGTTCTTTGCTGAAGATGCTGTTTAAGTGAGAGTTCTGAGCTGCTGCTTTGAGTCACCTTTTACTGAGGTTTCTTCAGCGTGCCCTGCAGTGTCCATGAACTTGTTTTCCTCTTGTTAATGTGTTTTTGTTACAGAGATCTGTCCTAGCTTTGAATTTATAAGGGTTGAAGACAAATTCTATTTCCTCGGGTCAGAAGGATTAGTTGGCTTTACTTCCCAGGGCAGAAAGAGCATGCGCAAAAGCTGTGCAGGAAGGAAGCAGATGCAGACAAGGCCCGAAGGAAGCCTAGTGCCTGCAGCGCAGAGTCAGGGGAGGGTGGAGCCAGGTCACAGGAGAGGGGCACTAGCCACGCCTCCCCAGCAGCCCCTACACCCTTCTTCCTTCCCAAGGGAATCCCCATGTTGTTCAGGAATCGAAGCTTCTCTTGACACAGCTTTGTGCCCCAGGGAACAGTAACTTCACTCCCGGTTTAAGAGAATAATCCCTCTCCCCATGTTTGGTTGGTTTATAAGCTTCTGGCAAATAAAAAGTGAAAGAAAACTTCCTAGGGGACTTGGGAAAAGCATTCCTTGCTCCCAAGAGCAAGTCACAGGAACAAGTTCGGCTGAGTGTTGTCTATCCTGGATGTGAAGACTGGAACTGCTGCTGCTCCATCATCTCTTGGGAGGGGGCTGACCCTGAGGCCGGCAGAGCAGAGGTAGGGAAAGAACGTTTGTCTTGATAAAGGTTGAGTTGCTGAATCAACCTGCCCCGAAGGCCGCCATCCTACCTCAGGACTTCCTGCTATACGGGATCTTAAAGTTCCTTATTGTTCAAGTAAGATTGAGTTTGAGTTTTTGTTTTGCTGTCCATCTGCTGTAACAAGGAAGAGGATAGATTGTGTCCCCCACATAGGCAATGCTAAGAATTTCTTTTTCCTTTTTTTGCCTTTATCCTAAGATCAATGAAAAGTCATTAGAGTTTTAAGCAGGAAACATGATTCATATTTTCATTTCTCAAAAAATCATTCCTTTGACTGTGTGGAGAGCAGATTTTGGGGACAAGAGAGGATGCAGGGAGACCAGGTATCCTAAGGAAGGGAATATGAGTTGTCTGCCTTGGGCCTCACACTAGAGGTGAGAGGCTGCAGAATACACAACACTTT